AGAGGCTTTCAAAGCACCAGGCCGGCTTCACGGTGACTTTCTTGGACCCTGGGTGTTTTTGACTCCTTTTCTCCTTAAAAAACTCCCAAACTCCCAACTCACTTCCACAGAGTCAATGCTGACCCACAGTGACCCCTGTGGGTTTCTGAGCCTGGGACTGCTTATGAGAGTAGAAAGCTCAGTCTTTTTCCCGAGGATCTGCTGGTGGTTTTGAACTGCCAACATGAGGATCACAGCCCAACTCGTAACCACTACTCCACCAGGGCTCCTCCCCTAAGAAACTAGTACAATTTAATTTTATGATGGTTGGTATAGACATACAGGTTAACATCGTAAGCTAAAATGTTTCTAAGCCCTAAAAGTTATTTTCTTCAATTTGATAAAAGAAATAAAAATATGTTCATGAGCCCCTAAAAGTGTCCTGAGCCCTGGCACTAGAAAATGGATCACAAAGTGAGACTTCAGAAATGCCATCAGTGTGGAAGGAACTCTCCGGGCTGACACATCTAACATCAAGAACCCTAGGCAGGGTGGCGTCTGCCGTGGACCCCTCAAAGTCACTCGAAAATGAACAGAAATGCTGACATGGAGTCAGGAAGGAAGAATTTCCAGTGTTCTACAAGCACAAATAAAAATCAACTATAGACTTCATGTGATATCAACAATGAAAAGAATAGATAAAAGCCCCACTCACTGCTGTCAAGTTGAGGCCAACTCATTGAGACCCTTTAGGACATGGTAGAACTGTCCCTGCAAGTGTCAGAAACGGAAACTCTTTATGGAGTAGAAAGCCCCGTCTTTCTCCTCTGGAGCAGCTGGTGGCTTCACACTGCTGACCTTTCGGATCACACCCCAACTCATAGCCACTGAGCTATATGTTGGAGAAAAATATGGGAGAACAACAGCCGTTGTGTGTGTGTGTGTGTGTGTGTGTGTCATTTCTATTACTTTTAAGTGTTTTCAAAGTTGTTCCATAGCAAGCACATTATACCATAAAGGGTAGGGGATAGTGGTGATGCATTCTTGCCTTCCAAGCAATCAAAGGGCAATGGGGAGACACAGAAGGGTCTAAAGCAGTGGCGTGACCCGATCGGACTTCTACTTTAGAAAGGGGTCTCAGCCTGCATTGTCTTGAACTGATTAGACAGACAAGAGTGGAAGTGGCAGAAGTGGGACAGCCGTGGTTATGGTAATGTTGGCAGAAAGTGGGGGCCTGAGATACAGCAGCAGCAGTGGGGGTTGACAGAGAGGACTAGAGGGATTCAAGCTTTATTAAGGGGTAAAAATAACAGATTCAGTGATTAATCGGATAGTGGGAAGGCTGCTAACTGCAAGGTCAGGTCAGCAGTTCGAAACCACCAGCCCTTCTGAAGGAGAAAGATGGGGCTTTCCATTCCCATCAAGAGTCACGATAATGGAAGCCCACAGGACAGTTTTATCCTGTCCTAAAG